ATAAAATTTTTTGCAACTATTGTTTTTAGGGATCATTACAATCATATGACCCTTTCCAACCAGATGTGAAGGGAACGGTATGGGGAATGGGATGTTGAGATCACAAAAAATATAAGAGATATTAAAGGTCAATCCTAGAAAAGTAATTTCTGGATTTGTCGAAATTTTACTCCGTTCATTTTTTAAAAATCCCTAAATGTCAAAAATTTTCATTTTTAGGCGTAGTTATCTCAGCAATGGGTCAATGTATTTGGGTTACATGGGTTTGGGTATTATAAAACAAAATATTAAGATAATATATTTAAACAAAATTTTTATTAAAAATATATTAATTTAATAATCAATTTAAACGTACAACTTTAAGTTCGCAATTAATATTAATAAAATAAATAGTCAACACTTTATTTATTTTTCAAATATTGCTATTGTATTATAGTATAATAATTACTATAGTAAAATACTAGAATATATATACTAGAACATTTATTTATTAAGCTATATTCCACCCCGTTCAAATTAATTTCTAGATTTCTTATTATACCAACAATTTGTTATTAATTTATTTTTAACAATATCTGGATGAACAGTGTTTCAGCTAATTATAATTAAAACCGATTGAATTATACTCGTATGGTATGGAAAACAATAATATCCAGGTCATGTAATCTAACGGAATCTATTGATAGTCAATGATTCATGTTTTTATGTGAAATATTTAATGTTTTAAGTTTATACTTTGTTTCTAATATTAATATCTGGTTCAATATATCGGATGATTCCTGACTAATATAGGCTTATCTTTCGGTTCTTACAAGCATTTTTTGCTTACGACTAAATATCAAAATCTTTAGTGTATAAAGTCTATNCTTACGACTAAATATCAAAATCTTTAGTGTATAAAGTCTATGAGTTTAAGTTAAAAAGATATTAATATTTAGTTGTAAACAAAAATGCTTGCAAGAAGCGAAAGATAAGCCTATATTAGTCAGGTATCATCCGATATATTGAACCAGATATAAATAATATTCATTTAATATTGCATTTTTAATAATATTAAGCACTGTAAAACTTTTAATCAACTATTTTCAAAGTATTCATTTATTTTCTAAAAATGAAACTAATTTTTAAATAAATTTTAATGATTTTTTCTTGACGTTTAGTACTGAAATTAATTAATAGATTTTCTATAAAGTGATTTAGGTTTTTAATTTGCGTGTATTTTAATTAAAAGTAGATGTTCATTAAAACACATTTAAAACATATTAAAAAATTAAAATCTACTAATTTTAACTGTAATAAATTTTGCAAAAACATGTAATAATATTTATTAAACTTTATTATAAAATAAATTAAAATTAACATATTAAACATATTAATAAAAATTTATATTTTAAACATAAGTCACAATGGATACAACTGTTGCGGGTCATTTTGCTTTATCCCAATACAACAAACTGTATACTTGAAAGACATTTCTATTAAAAAATAAATTCAAATAATTATATTATAACAGGGGCGTTTGTTTACATGTTCTCCCTATAAACAGGGTATTGAATGAATGCTATAGTATGTTGTGATTTGTGGGCAACTCATTGCACATAACTATTCATACATACAAAACATTCGTTACTATTTCCACATAAAACCAACCCTTTTACTGAACAGCTTATGTATGCTATATAGCAAACCCTACAGTTCATAACTCCCACTCCCAATACAGTAACAGTTATGCGAAGTTGAATAGTAATGCAGAGGTAGTGCATTGAATAGACAACACATTATATGCTTTGTATACATTCATTCAATGCAAACACTTTCACTCTCTATTCACTCATTTTTACTCGACTGTATTATAATAAGCTATTTTACGACTAATTTAAATTGCATACGGTTATGTAATACTGATATAAATATTTATAAGAATAAAATTTGACTAAGACCATTTATGCAAAATATCAAGAAAATAATTTAGCTTGAATTTATTTTTCAAACAATAATGCGCTCGCACAAATTAATTCCTAGATTCTTTATTATATAATAATAGCATTTTATAAAAATTCTAATTAAAAAATATTTTTTAACAGCTCGATATAAATTTACTTTGGTACAATAATCTTGATTCAATTACAAATTCGGTAATTTCATTGATAAATGTAGTTAACTGATTAAAAAGTCTTTTGAAATGCCAAATGAAGTTTACTTAAAATCAAAACAATAATATAAATTAAATTATTTATTACTACAGAAAAACACTCATGACTTACCAAGGTTATAGTCAATATTCACAGCTATAACCATATTAATTATTACTATCATAATCTTAATATGCAATAATATTATATTATACTTCATTATAATTTATTTAAAATTTAATTTATTGTACTTAAAATAATTTAAGCAGACAACTTTTTATTGAATGTTACAATATGTAAAGTCTAGTACAGGATATATAATACTAGAAATTTTAAAAATAGACTAAAATTTAATTAAAAATCTGTTGAACATATGGTATAAACCGACACATTTTAAACCTTTTTATTTTTAGATTAAGCAATTTTAATCACGCATTTAATAAATGTGAATAAAAAATTTAAAATTAAAACTAATGTTATATTAATAAATAAAATAACAATTAAATTTAAAATCTACTTTATAAATCTATACTAGCAATATTACTCTAAAATATATTATATTAAAACAATTATTATAAAGTTTGAAATATTTATATTAATTTAACGTTTATTACTATAGCGTTGAGTCGGATACACCTGGGTACAATTAGTAGTATTTGTAGTACTAGTACTTGGGGTAGATCTTGATGTGCCTGGTTGATTTTGTTGCTGTGAACTCGTATACCCTTCAAATTTCTTTTCAATTTTCGTTTTTATAATACTCGCCTAATTTTATCATTGTAAATCATAGTATAAGTACCTGAACTGGTGGTATCATAAACAGCCTGGCCAAGCATTTGTGTATAAGTTTTATCTTGCTCATTATTTTCTGATGTTTTATCAGGGTACAAATCATTTTCATTGACAGTATTATAAGTGATCTGACAATGAATAGCGTAAAGGTCGATGAAATTATCATATTGGGTCTCGCTCATTTCATTTAGTGAGTTTATCATGATCACATGCATATTATTTCTTGACAAGGTAATAAAATCAAATTCGTTATATGAATTAAATTGTGGGAAAGATAAGCTAGCATAATTTGGACCTGTTACATTTGATAATATCTGGGCCGGTATAGGCTGATTAATCCCGCAATAATAAATAAGTCTTTGCTTACTCAAAAAGTAACTACCATATTTTGAGCACGTTACAAACTTAATACCATTCAGGTTGGGAATAAACTTTGGTTTATCAATGCACTCATCAGGCACATTATGACCCAACATACCCTGAAAATTATTGCCCCAGCTATACACTAATCCCTCTGTAGTAATGGCAAATGATCGGCAATCGTAACAATAAACTTGGCCAATTTTAGTACCTTTCATAAATTCCAGTTTAACTCTACCGTAATTAATTTTACGATCCACCAACTTTCCACACCCTAATTGACCGCTACTATTACCGCCCCACCCATACACCTGTCCACTATGGGTTAACACCAGGGTATGCTCAAACCCGCAACAAATCTGCTTGATAGGTTTATCATTAAAATACTCAAGCTTCTCGGGTTTAAAGTACACGCTGCCCTTGCTCAATTTTCTAGCCAATTGCCCACATGTATTGACTCCCCAAGCATACAATTTGTTATTGGTGGTTTCAGCGAGCACAAAATTGCCTCCATTATACAATTGCTTAATATTCTTGTGACACAATTCCTGTACGATTTGTGGCGATTCAACGGGAATATTGTGACCCATTCCCAGACACCCGCCACAGTTGTCACCCAAACCGTACACAAAGTCGTAGTTCGTTATGAATATGACGTTTGAGCCGTTGTTTGTCGATAAGAAAACGTGAAATAATGTGACCTTTTGTTTGACTTCATCGGGAATTTTGTCGCATATTTTGAACAAGGCTAAATAATTTAATTATAAAAATGTCTTAATTCACTATATTATATATAAATGCATGTTCAAATTATATCTCACTAACAAGTTTTAGCATGATGACTTGGCACAGGTAAGTCAGGATATAGTTTTGAACCCAGAACCATTGTTGTATTTCCATGAGAATCCATTGTTGGTATAATAGGCTCTTGTAGTGTAGGGGCAGATGGTATTGGAGCCTCAATTGAAACTGGAGGGGCTGATGGTGGTGGAGGGGCTGTCCGTTTGACAGATGTCTGCGCTTCCTATTCATATAATATATTATATTAGATCTTGGTAATTTTAAATAAAAATATTCTCCATACCGGCGCTTGTTTTAAAGGCTTTTCATCACTTTCGGCCGCCATATTGAAACTCGTTTGATGTTTCAATGACTGTATCTCTTGATTGGCGTTTCGATTCAATTGCATGAGTGCCTCAATACAGTCGTGATTAGGCTTTTTATCGCACAAACACCTTGGACATTGGGTAGCCTTAAATTCACAATTAGCCTTATGGTGATCCAGGTCTTCTAGTGGGACCACTTCGGGACACCCATAGTCCTTGTTATCGCAACTGATTTTTAGTTTACCAAGCATAGTTTCTAGTAACCTGAATGATTATTTTATATTCAAAATTTTGTAAAAGGTTAATAACAATATAAACAGTATCAATGATTTCTAGTACTTTCCATACATTTCTCTGATTATTAAAATAATTTATCAAAAAATAACTCAAAGTTTCAAATATTATTGTTATACATTGTATATGAAATAGTAACTATATTTTAATGTGAATATTTTAATACTAATTCTATGGTATTAATATATTTAAAATATAATGAGTTTAAAAATACAATAGAGTTATATTAAGTAGATAATTAATTATTACCTAGGTGGCTTTTGTAGTCCATCAACAGTTAAAGGTGCCCGGTCCAAAGGACAATCATTATTGTCTGTAAGCCAATCACTAATGCAATCATGGCAAAATGCTTGTCGACAGCAAGGTACAATTACAGGTGCCTTGATTATATTCAAACATATACCACATGATAGTTCCTCAATATCCGACTCCTGTAGTCCACTAAACCTTTCCGAGTCATAACCCCCAGACATTATTTGTAGCAAGGTTATATTTAATTTTAAAAATATTTATTAAACAATACAAATGGCTAACAATAATAATAAGCAGTGACTAAGATATAGTATGTATTAATATCATAGCAATATTTTAGAAATTTATTGTAGCTAGGTGACTCTGATAAGTACAATGAATGTTTCAGATAATGTAATAGAGTAACTACAATAAACTATTATCATAAATTGCATGAATCATAATAGATTTCATTTTCTGTTTGTAAAGTATAAAGGTTATTTTTATTAATGCGCGTGACAATTACACACATTTTGAATTCTTTAATAATTTTCACCTTGATCATTAAAAACTCTAAAACTTCTATACCGTATGGTAGTAATAAACATTCATAATAATGTATATTTTATATAAAAATAATAATTTATTTATTAGTACTTATTTATTAGTAATTATTATTTATATTTTTATAAGCAGTAAAATAAAAAATGCATTATTATAATCTGAAAAATTTAAAATAATAACAATAAAGTTAATAATCTAGCATACAATATTTTTATTTGTTTTAAATAAACCTACTTAATTATCCATTTCGTAATGGGTCTTAAAATACTGTATTTTTGAAATAAAAGTTCTTGATATTATCATGGTATTATTTAAAACCCTTTGGGATTATAGTCATAAATCCATAAATATTATTCCTTTCAATCCTATCAAAATAAATTAAAAGTATATATAATAGTAGTATTTTTAATACAATTTTTTAAATGCTTACAATATATAATATTTCACTTGAATGTTTAGCATGGTACATGTTTAAATTTTTAAAATCACTATTGTAATTATATTTACGAGAAATATCAATAACATAGTGAATAACAATTTTATATTATAATTAATTAGTTTTTAAGCGATTACATTTTAAACACGCTCAAAAATGTAAGGCTTCATTAAATATACTTGCAATTTGACAATCGAAAATGTTAACGTGGTAAATATTAATAGAATTATAATAATACCAGTAGCAATCATAATTATTTGTGTAAATTATAATATTAAAATGTAGAAATATTTTATTTTAATCTACTTTAAAAATAACACTATAATTATTTAGCTACATAAAACTGAATAATAATACCGTATTCCCGCACAAGCACCGGCATGCCGGTTTAAAGTGAGGTTGATGAGACTGCCGTAATAAGTGAAGTCTAAAATTATTTTTTAATATTTTAAAA